AATGAACAGCTTGTGGCAAACATCTCTGAAGAAGAAATCAAAAAAGCCCTCTTTCAAATGAACCCTCTGAAGTCCCCCCCCCCTTATTCTACCAACACTTCTGGCCCATAATCAAAGAGGATCTATGTGCTGTATTGGTCAGCTTTTTCTCTTCAGGTCAGATACTCAGGTACTGGAATCACACCTTTGTTATGTGGTGTACAAATTGATTGCAAAAATTCTAGCATCAAGACTCAAGCACTGCTTTCATTGCTGCATAAGTTTATCTCAAGGTGCTTTCTTGTCTGGTAGAAACATTCTGGACAACATCATCATTGCCCAGGAGGCTTTCCACTACTTGAATAGGCACAGGTCAGGTCTACACATCTTCATGGCTCTCAAACTGGATATGATGAAGGCCTTTGACCGAGTTGAATGGAGTTGCATCAAGGCTATTATGCAGAAAATGGGGTTTGAGGCTACCTTCATCAAATGGATTCTTGCTTGTATTACTGCAACATCATTCCTTTTTCTTTTTAATGGGGAGGCTGTTGGCTATATTGAACCTTCTAGAGGACTGAGACAAAGGGATCCCCTATCCCTTTATCGCTTCCTCATTTTATCTGAACCTCTATCAGCCTTAATCAACTCTGCAGTCTCGGAATCTTTCTTCAAATGGTTGAGGCTATCCAGAGGAGGACCTTCACTGTCTCATTTATTATTTGCAGATGACTCTTTAGTCTCTTGCAAAGCAGATACAAGCCAAGCTCAGCTACTCATGGACATTCTCAGAAGATACCACCTCTTCTCAGGCCAGAGAGTAAATTTGCCCAAATCTACAGTGTTTTTTAGCAGAAATACTCCCTCTTTCACCCAAAGAAGCATTTTTCAGATTCTTGAGGCATCACAATACATACTTCCACTATGTACCTTGGCTTGCCATTTGGCATTGGAAAATCCAAAAATGAGGCCTTTGACTTTGTGCTCCAAGCAGCTAGAAATAGACTGGTTAATTGGAAAAACACATATCTCACCACAGCTGGCAAGGAAGTGCTTATAAAGGCAGTTATCAGCTCATTACCTATTTATGTTTTACTTCATGTTTCAAGATGCTTGTGGCAGTATGCAGAGAATTGGCCCAAATCACATCACTTCTAGTGGAGCAAAGGCACTGAGCTGGAAAAAGGCTTACACTAGAAAAAATGAGAGCTGATATTTATTTCAAAGCGAAATGGGGGTTTGGGTTTTCAGAACTTCAAGTTATTCAATGAAGCTCTCATCCTAAAGCAACTCTGGAGGATTACTACACAACCATAGCTCTTGGTCAGTCAAATACTTAAAAGTCGGTATTACCCTAATTCCCCAATCTTTGAAGATCAAAGGAAACCATCCAGCTCTTGGATGTGAAACAACTGGCTAGATGTGATACCAATCTTCAAGCAAGGCATCTGAAAGGGGTCAGAGGATGGCTACAGACTAAAATCATTGAAGTAGGTTGGGTCCCAAATCTTGGCCTTAAAACCCTTCACATAGTCAGCAATCCTGAAAACCTGGAGATGGTTAGTGATCTCATTCACAGCAGTGGTAGAAATTGGAGAGAGGACCTCATCAAGGAAATGTTCACTGAATCAGATGGAAAAGCTATTATGGACATTCAAACTCTCTCACCTAATTTGGAAGATAGATGGAGATGAAAGCTTGATAGCAAAGGAATCTTTTCAGTAGCAACCTCCTATGCCCATCTCATGGAGGACAAGCTTATCGCACTGGACATTGTTGAAGGAATCAGAAACAGAAGCCTAGACACCACAGTCAGACAGAGAAGTTGAAAACTCAAGGTGAAAGGAAAAATTAAGCATTCATCTGGAAATGCTTTTCTGGCATTCTCCCAGTATGCTTTAATCTCAGGAAAAAAAGGTATTGATATAGACCCCATATGCAGACATTGTGGTGAGGTTGAGGAAACCATTGAGCACCTTCTCATAACCTGTAATCGAGCTAAGGAAGTGTGGAAACTCTCCCCTGAAATGGGATGGCATCAACACTGACAATTGCAGCTTCAAAAACTGGTTATGGCAGATATGCTCCATAACCAAATCAGATGTCTCGGAGGCCAGAATACAACTATCAACTTACATATTATGGTGGTTATGGCGATCGAGGAACCTGTGGATATTTAGCAAGGAGCTCATGCCAGTTCACACTGTGGTCAGAAGATGGAGTGGCAAGAATTCTGTGACCTTAAGTAGAACTGGCTCCCCTCTTCCTCTCGCTTCTAATTCTATTGCTTTGTGTTCTTGCTTTTTCATTTTATGAGTTATATTGTTAGACAGTTTGTTCTGGTTCTTAGTATTAGTGTTGTTGGTGTTTTGGTTGTGGCTTTGTTAGGGTAGCTTAGTGTTGGAGTTTCTAGTGCTCTATCTACCTTCAACTTTCGGTTATAGTCAGCTTAGCACACTTGTGTAGTGTTGCTCTCAGTTTCATGTCGACTGTCTAGGGGATTCTCCCGCCTTGTGCTTGAACTTGTTTTCCTTTTAGTTTTATGAGAATTCTATCATTGGAAAAAAAAAAATTGTATACGGATTGAAATTTTCAGTAACTATAATATCCCACATCACCAACTGCCAAAATGTCATAGGAGGGTAAAAAGTAACAAAAATTATATGGGGCACTACAAAGGTAACATTAATAGTGACGACGGACCACAAAATTTGATTACAAATAATGCAACACGGAAAATAAAAGGGAAATTTTTATTTTTTAATTGCATCTATACTACCTATATAAAATATATTGCATTAATACCTAATTCTACCAAAATAATTAGTATTAGCATGAAAGAAAAAAACGGCCATATCCCCTTAATTTGTGTAACTGATGAGATTACATTTGCCATGATTTTTGGTTACAAAAAATAATAACTGTCTTTCCCTATAAATAAGGCAACTGATATAATCAATTAAAAACGTACTTGGTTCATTCAATTCAGATGGGAAAAGAAAAATCAAACAGATACATAATATTCGGGACTGTGATTTCTGGGGTGGGACTTAATTATATTCACCGATCCCAACCCCTAATAAGAGAAATTTGCTAAATCTTTACAAGGTAAGATATGATCAATTAATTAATAAATTACGATTTACAGGTTGCCAAAAAACTATAATTTTTCATAGGTGAAACAGTTTTCCGTCTAAAATATTCTACTCTCATGTTCCTAATTGGCTGGAAAAAAAAGGGGGGGTAAGTGAATATAAACTATTTTTTAGGAATCTGTTGTTATCAGCATGAAATATAAATTAAATTTTAAACGTACTCTCTCTCTTTCAAAATAAATTAAAAAACATGATTAAGAAAGATACAGTATATACACGATCACAACTTATGTATATTTTAGGTAGATTCTATGTATATGTGGGATCTGAATGAGATCAGCAGTTCCAGGATTGAATGTATATCTTAGGTATATTTTATGTATATGTGGGTTCTGAAATCAATTTTGATAAAGGATTAAAACTCGATTGTATAATTAAAGTATATTTTATGTATATGTGTGTCTCGATCTGTCGCTGGCTTGAATTACTAGAATCTCGAATGTATATTTCATGTATATTTTATGTATATGTGTGTTGTAAAACTTTGGTATATATTATATATACCCGCAACATATACCCGCAACATGTAAATATTCATATTTGATGGTAACATATATATAAATCATGTACATAATTTTCATACTCGAAAGCAACATCAAGTTATTCGTAAAAAATGGGATTCAGGCACAGTGGTGGGGTCTCTACGCTGTCAATCTTCTTGTTCTTGGACGATTTCTTGAGAAGGGCCGCAGTGGTGGGATTTTTTGGATGCCACATTACTCGGACCGAAACATATACTGAAAATATACGGTATATACCCGTAACATATACAGAATAGAACTCTATCAACGAATCAAGCACACCAAATTGTTTCGACAATTATCCTCTGAGAAGTTTTTCGTCAAAACGGATTCAATTATGGCCAAAATAACACCAAGTTATTTGTCAAGGGCTAGGGTACTCGGTCTCTCTCTCTCACTCTATCGGCGTTGTTAGGGTCACGACAAGGGTTGCTTCTCTCTGCTTGTGCGTGCGACGAACAGGGACAAAGGGCTGCTTCTCGGTCTGTTCGAGGGGATCGTGTGGGTTGCTTCTCGGTGATGGCAGAAAAGGAGGCGTGCGTCGGGCTAAGGCATGCGATGCCAGGCTAAGACGTGGCTGTTTGCGGCTGCTGGGTATATGTTGCGTTTATGTTAGTATATATTCAGTATATGTTTAATTTATGTACATAAAATATACCGTCAAAAAATGTTGGTGTATGTATTGTATATATTTCAATGATTTTAGTAAATATAAAACATAATCATGGTATATATAATGAATATATAAAAAATAATGTCGGTATATATACTTGCAATACAAACCGTAATGATTGTATATGTATTGTATATATTTTTCATGATTTTACTAAATATAAAATATACAAAATACTGAAAATATACTGAATATAAACCATACATATAACAGGGGGAATGATACAAACACGATACAATATGAGGGGATGAAAATATACCGAAAATACACTGAATATAAATCGGCGAGGGTTCTGACACCGGCGGTGATGTCGGAATTTTCAGTTTAATCTTCTTTAGCGGCATCTCATCCGACACGCTCCGCGAACGGGGCGAGATATCGTCACTCTGGGCCCTCCGCAAATGCTCTTGGTTTCAGGCGAGCCCTCGCTGCGCTGTGAAACCAATCTTCGTTGTTCCCAATCCTAAACTGCAATCCTACCCCTAACATATTGCCCAAACATAAGCCAACGCCCTGGAAGACCTAGTAAATCCACCCCGAAAGCCACTACATATTTTATTTTCAGCAAAGCCTCAATTATTTTCACGGAAAACCCCTTTTTTTCTCCTGCAACAATTATCTGTCTTTTTTTTTTTTCTCAGGCCTGACAGAATTGACGTCACGACCATAGTGTCAATCGGCGCCAAGGAAACGGAACCTCGCCGATGGAGTGGCACAGCTGCGGTCAAAGGGAAGAGGTGGTTTAGAAGGGAGCGTGTGTTTGTGAAAAATCTGATTCTGTTTAGGATTAATTGATAGTAGATTTATTGCAAAAATTAAGGAGAAAAGATCTTAATTAAAACATTCCATGTTTGACATGTTGACATCGAAAAATTAAACATTAGGTATATGTGCAATTATTTTGTGATTTGCATTTAAATAAAATAAAAAAACTAACTGGTGTTAAATATGCAATATAATTATTATATGAAGGTATAGAGTGTAAATTCCTCAAAATAAAAAACAATGCTCAAAACAAGTTTGCTATGCAGAATGAAATATGTGTTTTCACATGATTGATCCTTGGTTCTAGTATTTCTACACTGGATGATCATAAATTTTGTACAATGACGTGCAAAGTGAACCAACTTTCACTTAGCTTGCCGATCCCATATAATCTAAATAAAGAAACAACAAATTTGCCCGTCAATGAAATGAATCATTCAACCTAAATCAAGGATCTTTGTTTTTCATCAGAGGCCTAGGCAATCTGCTATGTAGACTATCATCCACTATCTTGTAATGCTTGGAAATTTTTTTATGGATCATCCCACCATACCGATCAATAATATCTCTAAATTTATCGTACAAAGCTGGAATTGTGATAAAAATGATTACTCCTGCAGTCAAATGGTATAACGTAAGAAATTAAACTTACTCCAAGAACAAGTTCTACCACAAAATAACGAAAATTAACACATTAAAGGGTGAAACGATATAGAGAAAGCCCTTGTGATGGTCAAAGAGCCGCTAGATATTTCTGAATTGTATTTCTATCTTTATCAAATAAGAAAAAACATTCAAAATTCTGTTACACCAAAAATCACCAACGTTTTTAGCTCGACACAGGAAACAAGGACGTATGTAATTATGCCTTGAAAGTTTGAGTATGTTTGAGTTATGTTTTCCAAAGCCTCAAGCAGTTGGTTAACCATACCACGTAGTCATATTAGAACAGCATTAAAGAAAAACCAAACATCAATCCTTAACTCTTGATAAATGAGACAAGAAACTGAACCCAGGTGATAACTACTGGAAGGACATCGAATAGCAGGAAAAAAAGACTAATATTAGCCACAATACCTATATAAGCGAGAGTGAAGAAAGATATTAAGCTACCAACCACAGACAAGAGCCATAGTGCAATCACGACCTGCATGTTCAAACGTGATAGAGTTAAGGGTGAAAACAAATGAAAATAATAGATAATAAATAGTCTTAATTAAGAAAATAACTCGAGTCGAACCCCGCCTAGCCTAAAGCCAAAACTTTGGAAGAAACTTTCCGCCCAGGCTTAAAACCGACAATTCTGTTCAACGAAAGGTAACCCTAGGTGTCAGCCGATAGTCTGCTTAACTAGAGTCCTAACCTCAGTATAATCCTAATATATTCTAAGCAAATGAGCCCAAAAACCCAATAATTGAAAAAAAAAAAAATAACAATATATCTCTAATAATTATCCCACCGATAAAATAACAATATATGTCATTTAACACCCACCACCTCCATCCTTTCCACGAAGATATACAAACTCTCATCTTCCACGGTCCTTCACTAAGGTCCCTCGTCTCACTCTCATCTCGTCGCTAAACAATATGCCTGATCTTTGGCCAACCCTAGAGTTGTTATGGAGAGACGAGTAGGTAGTGCTAGTGCATGTAAATGGTTCGCCATCTTAAGAGTAGGTACAGATGTTGTAGCTACCACATGAAGAGGAACATATGTTGCAGCCACAACAACCATAGGAGAAGGATCGAGTTCCACCATGGGCGCTGGGCACTATTTTTGCTGGCAACAGCTTCATCTAACTCTTTCCTCAATTTGCAGTAATTCAGCGTTCTCCCCTTTCACATAAAGCAAATGCACACAGGTGACTATTTTGAACACAAACTTCAAGTGAATGGGTTTTTAATGCGGGGGAATCCCATTCCAGCGACCTACTGAATTTTGATGATCATACTGGAAGATGATTCCTTTAGCTACATGTGGCAGCTTAGGAATCACCCTCTGGATGAGCTACTTAACGTCGAAGCTGAAACAATGTTTGTCAGCTCATCTTAAGAGTGTCTTATACAAATGGTAGTTTCTTGCACGCTCAGTGTCTCTTGGACCCAAAAGCTGGCTTTCTATTATGTTCCACCTCTCATTAAACCGTAGATTCCTAACTGGATAACCATCGATGATCAATACATGACTTAGGTAAAATCTTCTTTGTTGCTTTCCTGAATTCGAAGACGTCTCAATTATAAGTTGACCATAGAGCAAGGTATCAGCCCCACGAGTTGGGAATCTCAGGTGTATCTCCCTTATGTGAAAATCCACATCGATCAAGAAGGAACCTTCGGTAGCCAACATGAACCCTGAATTGTTACCATCTCCATTACAAGCAACCTGATGATTACTACTTATGAGATGCATCGTTTGTCGGGTAACCTCATCATCTCTAATTATTCCCGATAGCGCTAGCCTTAAAGCTTACTCGACCGATGATGCATCTCATAAATAGTTATCATCTAGTTGCTTGCAATGGAGATGGTAACAATTTAGTGCTCATGCTGGCTACCGAAGGTTGCTTCTTGATCGACGTGGATTTTCACATGAGGGAGGTACACCTGAAAATTCCCAACTCTTTTCAACTCGTGGGGCTGATACCTTGCTCTCTATGGTCAACTTATAATTGAGACGTCTTCGAATTCAGGAAAGCAACAAAGAAGATTCTACCTAAGTGGTGTATCGATCATGGATGGTTATCCAGTTAGGAATCTACGATTTAATGAGAGGTGGAACATAATAGAAAACCAACTTTTGGTTTCAAGAGACACTAAGCGTGCAAGAAACTACATCTGTACAAGACAAACACTTTTAAGATGAGCCGACAAACATTCTTCAAACTTTCAGCTTCGAAGATCGAGGAGCTCACCTATAGGGTGATTCCTAAGCAGCAGCTAAAGGAATCATCTTCCAGCACTAACACTAACACTGGTATGATCGTCAGAATTCAGATAGGAGGCTGCTGGAATGGGATTCCCCCGCATTAAAACCAATTCACTTGAAGTTTGTATTCAAAATAGTCAACCGTGTGCATTTGCTTTATGTGAATGGGGAGAACGCTGAATTATTGCAAATTGGGAGGCAACAACCATTTCTCACAAAGTAGTAGCTTCATCAACTCTTCAATTCAGCTAAGTTGTGCCAATGAACGATCCATAGGTATCGTTAGTGACTTAACACCCTTCTCTATCGTCTGTATGAGTTTCTCCATCCGATTTTTTGATCCAAGTGGTCGGACTAATTGATACAGTTAAGGGTGAAAGCAAACGAAAATAATAGATAATTTATATTATTAATTAAGAAAATAATTCTGGACGAATCCCGCCTAGCCTAAGGCCGACACTTCGAGAAGAACTTCTGCCCAAGCTTAAAGACGGCAATTTTATTCGACAAAAGGTAACCCTAGGTGTCAGCCAATAGTATATTTAAATAGAGTCCAAAACCCTACATAATGGATATTCTAGGGCAATCAAAGTTCATTCCATGGAGTCAAAGCTCAAAAGACAGACACATGTTGTTCATCATATGAGAAAGCTGGGAAGGAAAGAAAAAGCTGGGAAGGAAAGAACATGTATAGCCAAAACCTTGCCTCCTTTCATTCCTAGGGCGTTAAGGTTGTTGAAACTCACCCCTCTCATCTAGTAGTCAAATAACTGACAAATAAAAATTGAAAAGATGTAAAAAAAAATAAAAAATAAAAGATACTGTGCAATTAACCACTCCGCCCATGAAAGATATGATGCAAATGGGCCTTATGACAGCAATTATTGTCATTCATATTTCGTATATAGCATTTTCAAGTGTGTGCAGAATTACTATCAACTATATTATCCATACCCTCGTAGTATATCCACTTGTCATATACACACACACATTTGTAGTAAGCAATCAGAAGGCTGGTATAGTGTCTATATATTCACAATATCGTCCAAAAGTACAGCACAACTAAGTCGGTTGTTTCCTGACACCACCAATGAACATTGGCCCTTTTAGCAAACTCCAACATTCTGAGCTAATGGATTATGAACGAAAAAATAAGGCAATGATAGGGGAAACAAGAAAGTAAGCTTCTCGGAGTAGCTCTTTTGAATGTTCACTGATCATTTATCACTAACCTTGAAAAAGAGTCTGAAATCCTTGCCGAGGGTAATGTCATGAGCCATGAGCAGCATGTAATTGACTTTCACACGTAAGGATGCAGCAGCATTATTTACCATTTCTTCTGATAGAACTAGTTCAGGTAGTGTTGGAGGTTGTCTGTGAAATGAGCATTAAAAAGATCTCAAGAGATTCCCACATAGAAAACGGAAGGCACATGAATAGATGGAGTGAATATTACTTGTTTCGAAATACAGCATAGTTTGCCGCGATAAATAAGAGAACAACTAAAACCAGCAAGATATCTGAACAAAGAGCAAGGAAAGATATCCCCGAGCGCTCAACCAAAAGCCATGAAACCGTGGCAACAATGATTATGCCACATGAAACACGCCTCCGCCTCCACAGAATGACATCAGCAGCTGAACATCCAATGAAAAAATCAGAGGGGTTGGTTGGTGTAGTTAAAATAAGCCCAAGTGAAATAAAGTGAAGGCGACAGCCATGGCAGAACATATTGCTCATCAATAATAATCTAGGACAAAACAATGGGTGGATGGAATGAATTTTGAAGAACAGGAAAATTAATGCAACTTGGTTCAGTAGTATGATTGTTTCTACTTGGATTCTCCTCTTTAGACAAGGAAGATAAATTTCAGAAAAACGAACAATGTACAGCATAATATAGGTGATATTAGGTTTGTTCTATAAAACCAGATAGGGCTCCATATGGAGCCCTATTGCTTATTTGTCACCCTTCTGTGAATAGATAGAGCACCAAAATTAAAAACTAGTGGGTCACGTCAGAAATAGATCTCCACAACATAACCTATCTGGTTTATAGAAAGACCATTTTTTTTAAAGCCACATAGAGATGTTGCATTTAAGAAAGAAACCTGAATCATTTAAGCATTTGTTCCTCAAAAAGTAAACCCATGTATCGATGCATGCATAACATAAATACAAATTTTGCTTATGATTAGACACCTCTGTCCTAGAAAGCAAATTCAAGTAGAAGTCTTTAAAATTGTGACCGGGCCACAAGAAATAGATCAGCAGATGATATCTTCCAATCTTTCAAAACCACTGTCCCTCATGAGCATATTTACGTAAAATTTCAGAACCACGATTGGAGAAAATTAGCTTACTCAAAAATGTATCTGACCAACAAGAAAAGTGATTATTTCTGGACTCAATATTTACCTTTGCCGCCACCCACCATTCGATGAACAGTCGCCTGGCGACCAGGCAATTTACATGATGAGCTCGTTGACGCCGGGTCATCAGCATTCGGCTCTATGACGCACAAATCTTCAGAACTTAAATCCTCCATTTCTGCATTTTTTTTTTCCACGAGAGACTGATAACAACAAGAATTGGGACAATTAGCAAGTAATAAACCGCAATGGAAAAGGCCATACCTTCCGTAACCTAAACCGAAGCTCAATTTCGCTGAAGGAGTTGAAATAATTGATTCAATTCAACTATAGGAGGATATAATCATGGTCTTCTCTTTTTCAGCTGGAGTTGAGATTGAGACTGGTCTTGACGATTGAATTAAAAACTAATCATCTCAGCGGAATATAGTACGGCGTCATCTGGTCGAAAAACAATGGCATTGGGAATCTTCATCCCAATTTCCCTTTTCCTATATCCCTCGTTTTTATATAACCCGAGGTACTTTGGTAAGTATTTTGTACACTCATAATAATGGGTACTGTATTCAAGCAGAGAAAAACAAAAATCTATATATTATACTTCCTCTATTTCATTTTTAGAGGTCGTTTTAATTTAAAATTTCTAAATTATAATTTTAATGGGTTGTGTATCTTATATACTAATCATTTTAAATTTAGTGTTTGAATTATTAATGGATCGTTTTTAAGGATAATGGCAAGAGTGAAAGTTTTTAGGTGATTCTGCTAAGATTTGTTAAAGAGGATAAAATTGAAAAAATGAATAAAATATTTCTGGCGACAACTAATTTGCAAAAAAAAATTGACATCTTACAACGACATGTATAAAAAAAACAGAGTGAGTATATCAGAAATTCTATGGCGCCCATATGGGCACCATATGGTACCATAATCTTCACAATCTAACGCCTAATATTCATTGTGGAATTGATAGAATGGATATTAGGCGTTGGATCGTGAGATTATGGCACCATATGGTGCCCATATGGGCGCCATAGAATTTCTGGTGATTATGAGCGTGCTAGTTAAAAATGTGTATTTGAATAATACAAAATAAAAAATGAGATTTTTCTTCTTCTAAAATTCAAATACTAACAGGTATTGCATTGTTATTTATATATTAAATCCAATACAATATCCGTAGATCAAGAATGCTAATTATTATTATTATTATTAATACTAAAATTCTAAAAAAAAAAATGGAGATTTTTTTTATTTAAATTTCAAATAATTAACTAACATTGCATTACTATTTATATTTAAAACGACACACTTCATTGTGATGATTGATGAGTTTATAGATAATTTATTTAATTGAGGTATAATTTTGTTAATTTTCAATTAGTTCTATTAATAAAGATAAAATTATTCATTTATTTTTTATATGCAATATGAATGTTGGATTAAAATCGAACGTTAATATACGATTAATTTGATATATACCTTATTTGAGAAACAAATAACAATTTCAAAAGTTGAATTTCCCAATAAGTTGAGCAAAAAACGCTATCTAAGAAGCTACATCGGCAGAAGAAACGTTGAATTTCGCAAGCCACTTTTATTCTTCTGGAATAGCTTCCAGCAACGATGTCATCAGACCAACAAAAGGCTCTATAGCAGACAAGATTTTGCTGGTCACTATAAATTCCTGCAAACAAGTTAATCATATCAGCAAAGGAGCATCATTAGTTTTATGGGGTACGGAACTCTTCATGCATGCACGGTGCACTTTCAGAGCTGTTTGAATTTGAACATGAAGGGAATAAAAAAAACAATAATTTGATTGTAAAAACACGGTTTGGTTTTAAGGCATACCCATCCTAATATGCCACGGGGAGCCAAGTCTTGATACAATGATGGGCAAGATTGCCTAAGGTATTTACATCCTTCGGATTCCAATACAGCTGAAATTTGAGAGCCAAAAATTTCTGTTAGTAGAAAAAAAGGTAAGGAAGATATGAAGGATGACACTCTAGGTGCATTGTAAAACTTCTTAACCACAAGGTACAACCCTAGTTCAAAAATCAGATTCCAATTTTATAAACAGATACTCCCAATGCAATCAAACAACAGGAACATCCTAAACAAATACGCAGTGTTCTCTATAATGTCATCAAACTCCACATCACAGAAGAAATTTCTTAATTATCAAATAGAAACGGACATCAGGTTTCAATGCATAAAATATGCTGCGTAGTCTATCATAGTTAATGATGCTTGAACACTTTGCAAAGAAAGATACCATCTAGATTTTCGGCTGCAAATCTAAGACAAGCAGCTTTCAGTTCTGTAGCGCAGCAAACGTCTGCTAGGTGCAACACGTATGCAACTGATTTCACTGAAAGTTTGCTCAAAATTCGTGATTCGCAAAACTTCTTAAGTTTTTCCATTTTGAATTGATATGCGGCTGCAAGTACTTTCCCTATAAATAAATCCAGCACAAACGGACCAGCATAACTGACAAATTCTTCATCATCTTCCACGAGTTTTCTGGTATACATAAACTGGAGCATTGTCTACAAAACAAAAAAATAAAAACTAATTACGGAGGGTAGGGAGCTCAATGTATTAGCAAAGCTTTCTGAAGAGTCAAAGACCATTTACAAGACAAACATGCAATGAGAAATGAATGACCACGAAAATTGAATAATACATGCTTCGTAGCTTTTGAAGGAAAAATGATGGGTTTCAAAGTTGTTTTCAGCAAGCCATATATCTTAGTTCTAACGAGTAACCACGAATCTTTTGCGCAGCCAGACGACAATTGAAATATATTAAAAAGAGAGCATTTCATAGTTCAACCAAACTGCTATAGCCTCGCCACAAACTTTGGTATTGAAAGCACAGGTTGGAGGCCTTTTATCAATTTGACAATCAAATACATCAATGAAACACCACAGGATTGCATATAAAGTGCATACTATGACCTTGATCTTGATGATTAATATAATAAGAACAATCCTTCATATTAGTGCAGGAATGTAGCAAGTCCTATTAGTCAAAACTAGTAAATTATCACGAGCATTGAAAAGATAAAAGGTGCAACCTTGAATAATCTGGGCTCCACATCAGGAATAACAAACAACCCCTTGGAAAAATGGAGGGGATCAGATAGACGCGAACAGAGCACGGGTGAGGAGGCAGCTAATAACCACTTATGGGCAAAAACCTTCTCATTCCCGATTTGAATCAACACATCTGCCCTTGGATTTCTTTTCGACAGCTGGGCCATACCATCCTCGATTAGAGGCGCTTGAGCCTGACGAGTCAAGACCACAATCCTGCAACGAAACCTCACGCAGTCGTCTTTCAGATAATCTCGAGATTCCATAACCGTTCGCCTGACGAAGAAATATTTCCCGACCGTACAGCCTCGTCCGGGAATGTTAATTCCACCGGAGGTGGCGTCATCGTCTCNCCACCCTCGGGGAGGGGGCGACAGATAGAATCCCAACTCACCCAGTGAGTACGTCTCCCCCTCCCAGACCCGTCCTCGTACCCCCAGAAATAACGAGCCATAATCTGGTCAAGCTCGTCAAGAGTAGACCTAGGGGGGTCGAGGACCATAAGCAGGTGAATCGGAAGAGAGCTAATAGTGCTCTTGATCAGCGCTAGCCGACCACCGAAAGAAAGATATCTATGCGACCAACCAGAGATCCTGTCGATCATCCTCTGTCTGACGCCCGCAAAGAGCGCTCTCGTGAGGTTGCCCTTATATAAAGGGACCCCGAGGTAGGTAATGGGAAGGTCGCCACGCGCAAAGCCAGTAATGTCGTGGACCCGCTGAGCCCACCTGTCCACTGTGGCAGATGAAAGGATGAAGGTGCTCTTCTGCACGCTGACCAGCTGACCGGTGACCAAGCCATAGTGCTCCAAAAGGCGCATGAGCTCGACCAGTCCATCATCATCTGCCCGGGTGAAGATAATGATGTCATCCGCGTAAGAAAGGTGAGAGACAGTAGGACTATAGCCACAGGTGCTGTAGGTCATATGGGGAGAGTCGCGGATGAAGCCGTCAAGGCAGCGAGAGAGGTAGTCCGCCGCAAGAACGAAGAGGGAAGGGGACAGGGGGTCGCCCTGTCTAAGGCCTCTAGAGGAGGGAAAGAAGTCTGTGGGGCTGCCATTAATCAGGACCGAGAACGTGCAATGCTCCACACACGCCTCCACAAAGCTGATCCAGCGCTCAGGGAATCCCATCCTAGCCAACGCCTCCCTAAGAAACGGCCACTCAACCCTATCATACGCCTTAGCCATGTCTAGCTTCAGCGCGATATTCGGAGCCCGCTTCCAGTCCGCTCGGGAGATGTCGTGGATCATCTCCTGTGCCAGAAGGATGTTATCACTAATGACCCGATTCTTGATGAATCCACTCTGGTTCGGAGAGATGAGAGAGGGGAGAAGAGGGGAAAGACGGCCGTTAAGAATCTTAGAAATGAGCTTGTTGGTCACGTTACACAGGCTAATGGGCCTGTAATCGGACCAAGAGCTCGGATTGGGTCGTTTGGGGATCAAGACGACAGAGGTAGACGTGAAGGAATCCGGCATCCGGTGGCCGGAGAAAAAATCCAACATCGCCTCCTGGACGTCAGTCTCGACAATATCCCAGCAGACCTGATAGAAGAGGGAAGAGAAACCATCCGGGCCAGAAACGCTGTTGGGATCAATCCCGAATACAGCATCCCTAACCTCCTCCCTGCTCGGGAGCTCACAGAGGCCATTGAGGTCGACCGAGGGAGGGATGGTGGGGAAAAAAGAAGCGTTCGGGGCCACGAGGGACCCTCTGTCAGAGGTGAAGAGGGTCTGGAAGTGAGCAACAGCCGACTCCCGAATCTGAGCCTCCTGGGTCAAGGCTGACCCATCAGCCTCGATACTATGGATGTACGACTTAGCACGCTTCTGCCTAACGTAGCCCTGGAAGAACCTAGTATTCCGTTCGCCCTCGGCCACCCAGCGAACGGCCGCCTTCTGCTTCCAGAAGTCCTCCTCCATAAGGAGTCGGAGCTGGTACTCGGCGTGGCAGCGGTGCATGGCGGTCCTATTCTCCGGAGTGGGATCCAGGTCATAGACCCGCTCAGCCGACGCATGCGCACTCTGAGCTGCAGTAAGGCGGTGATGAAGGTTTCCAAATACATTCCAGTTCCACTGTCTCAACCGACGCCGCAGTCTGCCGAGCTTCGCCTCGAGATTGCGCATCCCGAAGAGCCCAGTCGGCTGAAGCCAGGAATCCCTGACAGTGTCGTGGAAGGAGTGGTGGCGAACCCACATGTTTTGGAACCTAAAGGAAGCGCGGCGAGGGGTGCTCGAAAAACGACATCTAATGAGGAGGGGTGAGTGGTCAGACCCAAATCGAGTGAGGTGCATGACGGTCGTGACCGCAAACACCTTCGACCACGCTTCAGAAATCAAAGCACGGTCGAGCCTCTCCTTTAGGTCGTCCCTAACCCACGTGAAGGGTTCACCCTCGCATCCAGCATCGAGCAACTCACAGTCCGCCACAGTCTGCG